TTGCACGAATGGTGTCCAACGCGTCCCGTTCAAATGGCGCATGAAACGTCATTCTGAGACGGCCCTGACTGACATTTGTGGTCATCATTGCTGTGGCTGTTGTTGTTGTCGCGTTTGCCTCAAGTACACACACTACAACGTGTGCATGTATATATATGTAATATGTGTGAGAGTGAGTGTGTGTGTGTGTGCTAAAAAGTAAGTGAGCTCCAGCTCTCCGCAGATCTCAGCTCGGTCATGCAATTTTCCAGTTCAAAAGCTTAAAACTAAATTAAACTTTATGACTTGCCACAGAGCCAAACAGCCAGAGCAACAGGATTTGCGGCAACTACAAAAAGGATTACCACATGCCATATGAAGAATAATGCGAGGATTCACGTTATTGTTATACCCAACTACTTTGTTACACCGCACTCCACTCACAACCGAGTATATGAGGTCTAAAGAAAGCTTTATGGCGTATATCGTTTTCAATACTCTTTATATATTTAAATATAAATATCTTTACTTTACTGTCTTATATTAAAATTTTAACTAGATATATTTTCAAAAAATATAAAAAATTAACTTAAATCAGAAAAGTGAAATTACAAAAAAATATATAGAATTTGGAAGTGTTAGCGATTAGAATTGTTAACAGGGTATCAATGTGACTTGATGCACATGTATGCAAAGAGAACTTTTTCGCTTGGTTTCGCTCTCTGAACAAATCGGATTATCTGGTCAAGCCAAGGAGGCGAACAAACAAATAAATGTAATGAGTTTAAGTGCCAACGACAAAAATTGCCAGACATTTTATTGAGCAAATATTAAAAATATTACGAATCGCTGGCCATTAGAGGCAGCCGTTGGCCAGGCGCTGCAAGCTGCCAGTTAGCAAGAGCAAGCACTAACGCAAACACAGTTAAGGATACAGATTCACACACACACACAGTAGTAAGAGCCACCACTTAATGCTGATATGTATGAATGTGGCAAGTGAGAGGCAAAAAACAAATACCAAGAAGGAAAGAGACAACTTCACACATACACACACACTAACACACATACTAAAAGATAGCAAACTTAATGTAATGGCCAAAAATACCAAGAACCAACAAACCAACGTGCACAAACATTGCTGCTGCTCCTTGCCATCCTTTCAGATCCCATCGTCTCGTCTGTCCCTCCTCCTTCTGTGGCTCAATACTCATTCTGTGTTTGCTGGACAAGTGTTTCCAATGGTTTTTGCGCCAACGGCTCTGCCATTTAAAAACGCACAAAAGTTAGCGTCAGGCAAGCACACAAAAAAAGAGCAGAGAAAAACAAACTTTTGAAAAGAAAAACCCAGCATTGCAGTTGCTGCGTTTATTTGATTTTTACACACCGATTTTGAGCTATTCTTTTATTAGATTTTCGCTTGGCGCTGGCAATTTCGTTGCATTTTCGCCCTTTCCTTTCCTTTTTTGTTGAATATTTTCTATTTTTTCATCGTGTTGGCTGTGAATTTGTGAGATTTGATTTTGAAATTGGCCGGACGATAAGTGAATGGTTGCAAAAGTCGCAGAGGCAGTGGGTAAGAGACATGATATGTTAAGATGCGAGCGGGGCAATAAGGGAGAGTACAACAGATGGAGTGCATGAGATATCATGACGAGACTCGGAATTTATCTAACTACATATCTTCAGTTAGCATGCCAAACTTTAACATGTGCTGAAAGAATGCTGAGGCTACAGAAGGAAATCTGTTTTTTACCAAGGAATGTTGCATGTGAAATATTGGCTTCAGCTAGTTCCAACTAAGTACTGAGTTACTTTGGTAAATTATAATGTTTTTATCTAGTCTCTGCTGTACGCAACTCTTCGCATCAAATGCTAGTATTTTCTCAATTCGTGACTGGCTTAACACTGCCGCCAAATATTTAATTATTTAAGAACTCATTTAACCGAAATTCGACCAACTTCTAGCAATTGCAATTTAAAGCCATTACACTAATAAATAATATGCCATAATTTATCAAGCTGCCATCGATTCCATTCAGCGCCGCAGTAGTTGCGGATGGCAAGAGACGCGCACTGTTAGAGCTAACACCCAACTCTTCTGAGAAGATAAGCCACGATTTTTGCTCTTTATACCCTGTACTCATAAAATGCAAAAGAATATTGATAGCTAAGACTGACATGCGAATTTTGAGACTACAAACTCTGGCTCTAGTTTGAAAATTAGAAAGAAACTATCAAATCGTCAGAGAGGAGCAAAATGAAATTTGTTTGCTGAGCTCCTCTGAGCAGCTTGTAGATTATGCTATCGTTATACAGTTAGAATTTGATATAGATCTGCAGGGTATAGCTTGCGTATATTCGGGTCTCGCTTATGGCATTCGTTTATATATGTTGCTGTTGGGTGCTGAAGCTGTTACAGCGAAGCTCTTAAAAGAAAAATTCATATGTTGGTATTGCTGCTGCTTTCAATTGCTCTCAGCACCGGGCGTTGTCGACGTTGCCATCGATGGCTGCTTTCAATATCTAATAATATTGCGCATACGCTCTGTGCGCCGAGCACCCAAGTTCTTTGGATGATGTCGTTCCTGCTGCTGCTGCTGCTGCTGCTTCACTTACAGTGAGTGCGTGTTAGCGCAATAATCAACAGTTATATTATGAATGCACACAGATACACACACACACAATCACAATCAGCCATACAGAAACAGTCGCACATGCGATGTGTTCATAATGCGCATTTTAACCCCTTTTGGCACTATGTGCCAGTCCCCCATATGACACTCCATCTAAGTGATACGATAAATTTAGGATTTTCTTTGCATTATGCGCAGATTTTGCTGATTTCTCTACCCACACAGATTTTTGCACGCTGGCAGCTCGAAACTTTTTTAATAATAAATAAAAGTGCTTAGCTTAATTCGAGCTGTTCAAAATGTTCTTTCATTTCACCCCAAGCTCTCCTTGCGCATATGTGTGTGTGTGTGTGTGCTATGGATTTTCCGCTTGTATTTGCCCATTTTATTTGTTTCTTTGATTTACCCTCACACACACACAGAGACACACACACATACTAGCAAACACAACCGCACAAACTGTTTATGTGAGTGTGGATAAAATTGTTCGATTATTGTTGAGTTTTGGCTTATTTTCTCTCCCCTCAACGAGGTTCTTCTCTCATTTTGTGGCATTTGCGGCTGTTTACCTCGCCAGCGGCCAAAATGCAATTTATGTGCGTTTGCCAAGTGTTGAGCGTTTGGATTTTTGCTTTTGACTCTGACTTCTTTTTTATACTGCGCTCGGATTTCATTTTATGGTGCCTCGATGTTATTGCCACTTGTCATTTGCGTGATTTACGCTTATCGGTGGAACCAAGTGTGTAATTTGCGTTGCTTGTCAGCTTATCGATATTATTGTTGATACTCGATGACATGGCCCCTGTTTAACAGCTGCTTCACTTAGCGCAGAAAAAGAAATATCAATATTTACACAAAAGGGTTTAGCCTAATCGAGCAGCTGTTGATAACAAAATCCATTTTAAGATGTTTATACAGAAAGATACTCAACATTGAAACACTTCGAGGGCAATAGAGCACATATACAGACTTGTCTTGATCTTACATAAACAACGTCGAGATCATTGTAAAATAAAAGTCATTAATTTAAATGAAAGTTCTTTACAAATTCAAACTGCATTATAATACAATGTCGAGCAGATCACAATTATAGTTCTTGGCTATTCACAAGATGTTCAACCTGAAAGCATTTAAAATTGTAGTTCAACGTAATTGAAATCACAATTTTCAATTCTCCATAAACTTTTTCAGATTGCAATTAAAAAGTCAATGCTAAACACGATGCAAACGAAAAATGTAAAATTTCTGGCCTACCATCACCTCCCTCCAGCTGAGAAATATTCTTCAATATGGTTTAGTCAAATTGAAATTCATGTGTGACATTTGCTGCAGAGAACGATGAGTGTGTGTGTGGGCCTCTCTGTGACTGAACTGAAAGCAATTTTTGTGAAAATTTTTACTTGATAGCTTTGACAGCAATACAGTCCAACAAGCAGTTTAACCAAACTTATCAGAGATGCTAGAGACAATATTTCTTGCTGGACAACTAAAGTTTATGTTTTTATAATACTTACATCTTGGAACATCCTAATTCATTTCAACTCGATTGATCATCGATCTCATCTAAGTTGTCGCTACAATAAAGCAAGTGGCATACACTTCTTGCCAGGGAATTCACATGTTATTTGATTGTTTTTCAAATAGTTGCTTCCATCGTCCCATAGTTTCTGCTTATAACTATCGTCCTTATGCACCTTTCAGTTCGACACGCGTTCAGCACTGTTGGCCACCGAGCAACTGCTGTTGCTTCTACAGCTGTCTTCACGTGCCCAGCAGCCTATCATGAGTTAATAATTGAACATTTTCGGCAAAGTCAGTACAAATTGCAACGATTTAGCACAGGCCACCATGAGTTGAATGTCGGACATTGGGCGTTTGATATTGTGCAAATATTTCCACAAAAAGCAGCAGCTACATTTTGGCTTATACACGTATATATACATATATCTGTATACATATATCTGTCTATATATATATATAGAAATGCTTGGTGAACTTATGCTGTGGTTCGTGGTGTTGGTGCCCCTGGCAGTGGCTTTTTGTTCACTCTCTGGATGTTCTGAATGACTTTTTGGCACTAATTAAAAGTAGCAAATAATTCTCTATGCCAACTCATAGTGTCGCAACTGCTAAATTTGGCTAGCTTTCTCACTCCCTCTATCTGCTTCTGTCTGTGCATGCCAGTTTTACAACTCTGGTTAGCTGCGTTACTGATAAGCGTTGCTTATTGTTAAAATGGAATTCGAGTTGGGGTCATACTCCATGTGGTTGTAGTGGACACATTATTAAATTTGGCACGCTTTGACTGAGCTGAGTTTCATGTGTTTTAATGTTATTATATTATATATTATACATTTAAAAAAAGGTTACATTAGTGAGAAATAAATATTTTGATTACATTTACTTCAATTTCTCCTTCATGCGATTAAGAGCACTGCCAGCCTTGAACCATTCAATTTGCTCCGCATTGAAGGTGTGCTTGAGCTGGATCTTGTCAGCGCTGCCGCCGTTCTTGATCTCGCAATCGATGGGTTTGCCGGGGGCCATATCTTTCAGGTTGAGCAGCGATATTTTGCTGGTGGGTTGAACCTTGTCGTAGTCGCTGGGATTGGCGAAGGTCAGCGCCAGTAGGCCCTGCTTCTTAAGGTTAGTCTCGTGGATGCGGGCAAATGACTTGACAATGATGGCAACTCCACCCAGATGTCGTGGCTCGAGGGCGGCATGCTCGCGAGAGGAGCCCTCGCCGTAATTATCTTCACCTACGGCCACCCACCTGATCTTGTTGGCCTTATAGTCACGGGCCACCTCTGGAACGGCAGCAAAATTATTTGAGCGCTGATTCTTGATCTTGTTCATCTCGTTGTTCTCGGCATTGACGGCCCCGATAAACATGTTATTTGAGATGTTGTCCAAGTGACCGCGATACTTTAGCCAGGGCCCGGCAGCGGAAATGTGATCGGTGGTACACTTGCCTTTGACTTTGATGAGGACGGTTAGATCTGTAAGATCTTTGCCGTCCCACTTCGCAAAGGGCTCAAGAATCTGCAGACGCTTAGATTTGGGATCTACAGCAACCTTGACTTTGCTGCCGTCAGCTGGAGGAGCAGAGTAGGTGTCTTGCCCGGGATCGAAGCCCTTCGCGGGCAGCTCCGCACCCTGAGGTTCTTTCAGCTTGAAGCACTTTCCGTTGGAATCAGTAATCTCATCTTTCAATGGATTAAAGTCAAGACGTCCTACAATGGATAGCGCAGTTACCATCTCGGGACTGGTCACAAAGCAATGGGTTGCTGGATTGGCATCGTTACGCCCCGTAAAGTTGCGATTGTATGAGGTGACAATGGTGTTCTTCTCGCCCTTCTTGACATCCTTGCGATCCCACTGGCCGATGCATGGCCCGCAAGCATTGGCCAGCACAGTGGCGCCAAATTTGTTGAATGTCGCGATCATGCCGTCACGGTCAATGGTGGCTCGGATTTGCTCCGAGCCGGGCGTGACATTAAATGGTACTTTGGAAGTAAGACCATGTTCGATGGCGTCTTTTACGATACTGATACAGCGACCCATGTCCTCGTACGAAGAGTTAGTGCATGACCCAATCAGACCCACTTTGATATCCATGGGATAGCCGTTCTTCTTGGAGTTCTCTCCCAGTTTGCTTATGGGGTGCGCCAGGTCGGGTGTGTACGGCCCATTCACTAATGGTTCCAGCTCGTCCAGGTTGATCTTGATTAGCTTGTCATACTTGCAGTCTTTGTCTGGTGTCAGGAGCTTCGCTTTGTACTTCGAAGCTTCTGCAGCAATTTCTCCTCGACCCGTGGCGCAAAGATAGGCAACCATTCGCTCATTTAGAGGAAACAACGAGGTAGTTGCCCCGATTTCTGCCCCCATATTGCAAATGGTCGCCTGGCCTGTACATGAAATGGATTCGACACCCGGCCCATGATACTCAATGATGGCGCCTGTGCCCCCCTTGACGGTTAGGATGTCGGCCACTTTGAGGATAACGTCCTTTGCTGAGGTCCAGCCGCTGATCTTGCCAGTCAGCTCGACGCCAATCACATTAGGACACTTAAGCTCCCAGGGCATGTCTGCCATAACATCGACAGCATCTGCCCCGCCCACACCTATACAAAGGCCGCCCAGACCACCGCCGTTGGGCGTGTGCGAGTCTGTGCCAATCATGAGCAGGCCGGGAAAGGCGTAGTTCTCTAGTATAATTTGGTGAATGATGCCGCTGCCTGGCTTCCAGAAGCCCAGACCATACTTGGCGCTGGTAGAGGACAAGAACTCATACACCTCCTTGTTCAAATCCTTGGCGCGCTTCAGATCCTTCTCGCCGCTAACCTGTGCCTCGATTAAATGATCGCAATGCACAGTCGATGGCACTGCCACCTTGCTCAATCCGGACGAAATGAACTGCAGTAGAGCCATTTGGGCGGTCGCATCTTGCATGGCCACACGATCCGGACGCAATAACAAGTAGGACTCGCCTCGCTTAATTTCCTGATCTTTCGCATTATGCAAATGAGAATAGAGCACCTTCTCCGACAAAGTCAACGGACGCTTCAGGCGATGTGTTACGCAGTCCAATTTCTCGCTTAGAAGCTTATAAGGCAGAGGTTGTTTCGGCTCAAACTTGGACATGGCGACATCGGCGGGCTTAGAGCTCATGGAAACGTACCATTGATTAGTTAAGGGTCTCACCGCTCTTCTGCAAAGCTTACGCAGCACCTCTGCAGTCTGTGCAATTCTACGCTTAGTCATGATATATTGCTTACAAGTTTTATGGTCAATCTACAACTAAATATATAAATAGATATAAACAAATGTAATTTCTAAAAATTTTGTACATGTAATAAAATAGTTCAACGGGTTTTTGACAATAAATATATGATTTTTTCAATTATACAACTTATTTTTGACAGGTTTTAAACAGTAAGTGCGCTATTTTGATACTACTTACACAACAATTATAATTGAGAAGCCTTTGGGAATCATGTTACAATAATCGAACTTTAATTTCCTACGGATCTCAGTCGAGTAACATATGAATACGCCTGCATAAATAGGTAACTTATGTGTAGAGCTGCTAGTTAGTCTGTGCATATTTGATGAGGAATACAAGACACAAGGTGCAAAGTACAGGAGCTGTAGAGTGTGGGGCAGTCAGGCCACCGAGCCTGATGTTGCAATAAAGTGAGTCAAGTGATGCACATAAAACTATGCGGCACACAGGCGACTCGAGAGCTGACGAGAGTCATTCCTGCCATAGGCCATCTGAATAGTAACTACAATGCAAATTGCAAACAGATGGACAACACGTCATTTACTTGAGTGAGACGAAGAGGAGTGGGGTAGCTATGGGGACCAAAGTGTCAACTGCAAGGCAGGTGGCCGATGAGCAACGTGGCTGCATCCTCTGATTGTGTTTGCCACAGTGTGCCGAGTGTCACAGCGATGGCAGCGGGACACACAGCGACAACGCAGACACTGGAAACACTGGACAAACTGGACTACGGTCAGCCAGACCAGACCGGTAGTTGGCTGCACCACATTCAATTGAAATCGACGTGCCTGTTTGCCACAAAACCGTTGATGATGGCTCGGTCGGTCACCAGGCTGGGGCGTGGCATCAGCACGCAGTGGCCGTAACAATGCCAAAAATTGATTGGCAACTACTTGACCCATAAGCCCACCCACAAAGCTTTTCCATATGGCCTACTAAGTTGTCAGCTTGACACAACGTTGACTATGATTTTCTAAAATTGATGGATTCCATTTGTGCTCACAACTTGATCCTTTGCCATTCCATTGAGTATTTCGAAAGAAGACAATTGTCTTTTTATTATGTTCTCTCTCAATACACTTTATTCCTAATACAAATTTTAATCACATAAAACACTTGCCTTCGTTTAGATTTTTTTGTAAACAAAGGAGCAACGTGCACTTAAATTGAATATATTTTCCTGTTTTTTTTTGAGTCATCGGTAGCAGTCAGCGTAAGCAATCGAGTGGCAAACTGTTCTCCATGCTTCTCATACAGTTAAATAAAAGCGCTTAAGAACTTTCCCAATAAATAATGATAAACTTATTGCCTTCAGTTGAGCTGACTGCAAATAAAAAACAAAATGAGAAAAAGGCAAGGTAAAGCAGTAACAAGCACCTATGCTTGAAAATTACTTGGGGCGTGCGGTACACAATGTAAGCCATATGTAAAATGATTTCTGGTTAAAATAGTTGATTATATATTTAACTAGATACAAATTTAGTTTTGCTACGCAGCGGATTACGGCTTCGTATGAGTTTTCTCTTTGGCAGTTTCTAGTTGGACGACTTGTTGTCTGATCGGGGGCCAAGTAGATGCAACTGCGGCAGCAAACTGCCTGAAAATTGCTGAGAAAATTTATGTACTACCCCTCAGTTAAGTGTGGGCAGCTGGATAGAGCTGGGTGTGGCATAGTGGCCATGTGGTGTCGGTGTCTGTGGCCAAAGTTGCAACAAAACTGAAACTTTAAACTGAGCAAAAAAAATTAAAAAAGAATAACGAAAAAGAAATTGTTAATCCTCGTTTTTGCAGCAGGCAGCGGACAATACGTTTGTTTTTGCTGTCAGTGCACCATGGCTGCAGCCTCAGCACAGCTTGTGGTAGAACTTTTCAATAATATTCCCAAAAGTCCAGCACAGACGTCGGAGTCGACGACAACGAAAACGAAAAGGTTGAGCACGACGACAAGAGACAGCGAACGGCAACGGAAATGCCGCCATAGTTAGACATATAGCATAGTTTTTGGCACTCGGGCGGGCAACCATATTGCGACAATACCCAGCAAGAGCAGAGTGAATGCTCATTTATATGTATTCCGAAAGCCGATTTCTCGCCTGATTCCCAGCTAATTAAATTCTGTTTGAAACTCAGTAGAATTAACTGCAAGCTGCCAGTGCATAATCGATTTAAACTCGAAGATACTTTAAGGGGATAAAATGAATTAAAAGTTTTCACTGTGTGTAGGTAAGCTTGCTGTTAGTAACTTTTCAGCTCCTTTATGCAATATGCTATATAAATTTCTGCATAGGAAATAAGTGCAAATTCGATAAAGTTTCTTTTACCAATTAAAACATTAACTGCGAATTGTTTCAACTACTTTTCAGTTATTTTTACTGAATAATAATTTAATTTTTTCCACGTTCAAGTCTGAAATGAAAAGCAAAACAAAGAGACTTTTAAAATAAGCTGCTTTCAAAAAATTAAAATCTTTTCTATAGTGAAGAAAAATACATAGCAAAGAGGTAAAACCAAAGAGTGAAATTGAAAACAAAGAGTAAACAATGCAAGTTAACATAAAAAGAAGTCCTTTGATTTTTGAATTTAATTCAAATTATTCAATTCATGTTTTATATAAAGACTTTTTGCTATATTTCATAATAGATCTGTAGCGATTGGCTTAAGAAATGGTGTCGATTCTGCTTTGTGGAATTTATGAAATTGGCTAAGAGGAGGCCTTGCTGGCGGATAGAGGACGTGGCATATCCGCCCACAAGTCCAGCTTTGTTTTAGTGCGCCCGGCAGACAAATTCAGCATTTCCCGCACACGTGGCTTTGGCGATTTCCTTTTGTGCAAACATATTTTACCGCAATTGCGGCACATGAGTTCTAGCTTCATTGAGGCGTTAGTAACTGAGCCGGCGGCCACGCCCAGTCAGCTGCATCACCATAATGAAACTGTGTTTGTGTGTGTAAAAATATGGATTTCCTTGTTTTGCTAGTGCGTCTAACTAGGGACCATAACTCTGGCATAGTTTGAAGCTAGGCTCCCCACCCTACCCAGATGCTTACATTTAATTTTTATTTTACATTTTCTTGCTCCTTTTTCCTTTTTGTTCTGTATTCACTAAGCTCTTTTTATTTTCACTTACTGCCATCGCTGCGCTCTGATGACGTTGCATTAAGGCCAGTTGGTGGCCAACGTGGACCTGGCGCACCTGCACCATATCTGCCAGTTGGGCTGTAGCGCTGTTGGGCTGCATGGAGCTCCGCTTTTGTGCGCATTGTTTCCGTCAATAGACGCATTTGTGCGGGTCAGTTGGGCACAAAGAAAGCAGAGAGTGGACCAGCTCCGGGCTAACAGGGAGGCCTGACCTGTGCCTCTGGCCCGGACAAGGCAACTGCCTGTTGTAGCTGTTGTTGTGACTGGAAGCTGTTGGCCGCACATAATTAGATTTAATTTGCAGTTTTCCATATTACCTGCCCCGTTTGGGCCACAGGCGCTGCGCATGCACGTTTAATGCACGAAATGAACTTTGTTGTGAAATGGCTCTATTTAGTGGCACTGCAGCTGCATGGAAATTATAAGCCATTTCATGTTGATCTATGGGCATTAAAGCAGGCTGAAAAGTGGGGAGTTGAGGGTCCTTCGGGCACTTTGGCTAGCGATTTACTCCTGTTTATTGGGCCGCAGCTACCCAAGCCGAATGTTCTTCCATTTCCCTACTTACTTTCCAACGTAAATAACCTTTCAGTGAACAGCACTTAAAAATACGCAAATTTATCGCTCATCTTTCATTTGCTTTCGTTTCATGGCAAGGAGTTGAATAAGGAGGAAAACCCAGCCGGGATGCTGATAGAGCGACGGCTTCTGTCCATCAGTGTAACGATAAACTCTTCGTTTTTATGCCACTATCATAATATGTACACAATAATTATTCCCCCGATGGATTATAGCGTGAACTTGGCGCAGTGGAAGTGCCATACAAAACGAACGGGCGTAAAAAATGCTCCAGCTTTGCCGTTGAACTCCCTCAGCTGAGGCCAATACCAGACCAGAAGCTGGACGAGAACGCACTCATGCGAAACAAAATGGACATGAAACAAAGAATAAGAATCTGTGGGTTGGAAATTGAGCTTTGGCAAATACTTGTTTAAAGCCAAGTAAATGTCTGTTTGTGCAATAGCTGCTTGGGTCTTTTTTCATCTCCTTCTCGTTTTCAAATACCTTTCGCCCTTTCGTAAGGTGTTGAATACTTATGGCCTGTGTGGCAATGCGTTCATTACACACTCATCCACATACAGAGAGACTTCGACGTAGACCTCTCTGAAGACACTAATTTCCTGTTCTTGCTGCAATGTATGGAGCAGAAATATTCTTAGACACCTCGCAGTGTAGCTATTTTACCATAGAAATGAAAACGCTGCAACGAAGGGTATAAACGCGCCTTGTATATGAACTTATGGTATATGAACTGAGAACTTCGATTGAATCTAATCAAGGATATTTACGTATCATTAACTAGACCGGAGTTCGAACAGGTAGCAATATATATTCCATTTTCAAGTATAGATTCTAATACCATAAATTGAAAATTGCATAATTAAAAAACAATTATAAGGATATTAAGGATGGGTTGCCTTTGAATAATTATATGATTGTCTTATTTTATACAGGCAAGAAAGAGAATCTCAGACTGTCAGCATCACATGCCAAATGTCATATGTCCAATTCCTATTGCTTAGTTTTTCATATTTTTGTGGAAGCCGGAAATTGTGCTTATGCAATTGCTATTGGCGCAAATGGACGGGCCCTCGTCCATTGCAGTATTGCTTCTTCAAAAAAGTGAATGCAAGTCGAACAAAATAAATGAAGGAAATGTCGAAAAACTGAGAGCAGGCAAGTTCTATGCTCTGCCTTTAGACAATAGTGCGTAATTTGCTGAGATGTTAAGTAAAACGTAATAGCTGGGAATTGACAAAGTCGCTTCTGGGAATCTGAATCTGAACCTGTATCGGGATCTGAACCTGTCGCCAAGTTCCTTTTACGCCCGCCCTGTCAACGGCAATAAAAGTCAATTGTCAGCGTTGCCTGACATTCCTTTTCGTTTGTTGTCGTTGTAGTAGTTATTGTTGTTGTTGTTGTGCTGCAATAACAACAGCTTTTTTCGAGCTACCAGAAATTTTCAACATTGCATCTACAGCTTGCTGCGCTCGCCTTGGCTGAACGATTTGCTGGCATGCAGCTCTTCACCTGGACTAGCAGCTGCAGCTGAAGACCATGCAGCATCCAGATGTCACTTACCATTTTGTCAGGCGTCGACTGAGCATACTCCCACCTACATTCTTCGACACACACGCACACACTCAGCTTAACTTGCTGAGTGGTGTATGAGAGAGAGAGGCAATAGTGTTTCAGCTCTGCAGAAATCAAAATGCATCATAAAACGGAAATGAAAACAAATGAAAAATGATTTTTACTTATGCGCAAATTGTTCCCATCCCAATCCCAATCCCAGCAGCCGAGCCAGGTCCAATTTTGCTACAACTGTTGTTGGCTGGACATTTGCAGCAGGTGCTTGTTGAAAACAAATTGCATTTGCTCTTAAAGCGTTGTCAACGTGCCACCTGTTCGTGCTACACCTTTGGCTTCATGTCGTATGCAAAAATTGAAGTAGAAAACAACTAGGCAAACTGGATTAATCATTAAAACGTGGCCTGCAGCACTTCTAGCAAAGCGTATTTTCATTTAAACACATATGAATAGTCAGTATGATACCTAACAAATGCCCGTTGATTTTGAGTAAGTATAGAGAGAATAGGAGAACTAAAGGCAACCTTTGAACAATAATTTGTATCGTGTGATGTTTTTCATTTCGTATATTCCTGCTGTTAAAGACTTTATGAATTTAATATAAAATAATCTTGCTAATTGGTAAAGCTTGTTATTCGATATTAGATCATACTATTACCGTAAAGGTATCTACGGTTCAGAGGCCGCACATGCTTTCAAGTTGAATTAGATAAAAGGCTTCAGCCATATTCTGAGGTTACTGAAATGCGCCGTCAAGCAAACACAAAAGACTAACCATGACGAATAACAGCTGTGAACAAAAGAGACGAGAAGCTGAAAGCAATATTTTTGCGAACTTTTTCAGAGATTGCTGTAAAAAAGGTTGTATAAATTGTTAACCGAACAGCGGCAACAAACAAACACAAAAGGATAGTCCACATTTTCGGTATTTATTTATTTGCGTACTTTATTTTTCATTGGTGAAAATAATCAGGCAACTTAATTGAATCAAGTTGCGGGTATGAGCAGAAATAGGGAGCGTTCATTAAAAGCGAGAAGAGGATACAATAGGAAAACATGGCCCACAACAAGGCAAAGACGAGTGAAAATGCGCGCAAGAAGGCGAATAAAATTGAAGTGCAAACAAATGGACAAATGTTGCCGCAAAGCAGCAGCGCCTTGGAGAGGGGCAGCCTGAGTTGGGGCGACAAGGTTGGGTTCCGGCTGGTCCCATCAGCGACCCACGGCTGCTCGACCTTATTTATAAATTAACAGTAACAATTTTTCCCGCCGGACATTCACTTAAAAATTTTGCAACCATAAAAGTTTAATATAGTATATGGTAAATAAAAATATATACATATATATCTTGTTTTTTTTTTTGTGTTCCCGGTCGCGTTGGCGGCAAAAGGAAACCCGGACAAGGTCCTTTACCGTCGCTTAAGCAAATAATATCTTTTCTTAGGCAACGTCGGGGCGCCACAGCTTTTATGCTTGCGCTGCTTCACGCCCTCTGGCCTCCGCCTACTGCACTGTTCCTTGTCGACACACTCTCTCTCTCTTTCTCCCTCGCTCCCTCTCTTGCTGACTCTCCATATCTCTATCTGCCGGTCTTCGTTTCATTCCGCTTCCTGTTGTTCGTTTTGTTTTTAGTTGCCAGCCTTCGTTTGTTTGGCCTGCACTTCTCACGCACTCACTTTTGGGAATTTGCCGAGCACTCTGTCTTAGCTACTCGTCTGCATTTTAAAGACCAATACTAACTTAAAGCATTTCTGCAAGAGGCATGTAGTAGAGCTTCTCAGTATGCGTAGAAATTATGACAATCTAAATATATTGCCGAAAGTTTATCAGCAGAATTCTGCAATTTATGGGATTCGGATTAGACGCCGCGCGGCTTTTATTATTCTGCTTGCTGTTAAAATGAACCATAAGAAGCGACAGTAAGATATGTGTTCGGGTAGGTTCTGTTCTGATAAGAATTATCATTGCACAAAAATCTACAGTTTGCTGTTATAAGCTCGTCATAGAGGTGAATGGGAAATAAAAATATGCCATTGAAACTGCAAACTCTAATACAAATTTCCTTGAAATCGACGTTGTTTCAATTCAGCCCTGCTATATATCTTGTAAAAGATGTATTATTGAACATAGTTTTTTCAACTTTCTCAAGCTTCCAGTTATCGCTTTTTAATTACATGCGTCGTAAAGAAGAAGAAGGAGCTTGAGAATTATCAACTGATAAAGAGGTAAATAAATAAATAAAATTTAGCAAGTTGTTTTTAGTGTGCAAGAAAAATAGCTGAGTTCACCATTGCCATAGCAAACGTGATCTTCGAAGCTCATCATGATGATTGAGCGCTTTTATTTCTCCACACACTCAAAAGCTTAGTAGTGATAAGCACACACGTTAGAATTGCCAAGAGCGAGAGAGAGAAAAACGCTTTAAAAGCGAATACAGTGAGAAACACAAGCTTAGTTGATAGCGAGAGATCTGACGACTAACAACTATTTGCGCAATATGAATTGCTTTATGCTGCTTTTGGCGGCCCTGATAACATTGGTCAGTCTAGCACCGCAAATTGAAGGTGCAAAGATCTTGGCTACATTTGCATTTCCGGGTCGCTCTCAGTATATATTTGCCGAATCGTACTTGAAGGAACTGGCAGCGCGTGGCCACGAGGTCACTGTGATCAACACCTTCGACAACAAGCCAGTGCCAAATATGAGATTTCTAACAGCACCCAAAATACACGAACACTACCAAGGCAAAATATAAACTCCTGATTAAACTAACTTAGCGTACTTATATCTGAATTCTCTCTCAACTGCAGAAATGATGCAGCTAATGATGCTTGAGACATCGTTTATCCAAAAGCATAAGAACTTCAGTTGGCTGCTTGAAGTCATCTGCGAGTGCTTGTTCGAGAGCGAGGCCGTGCAACAGCTGATGAGATCTGGCGAAACATTCGATTTGGTCATTGCCGAAGTGCTGCACACGGAATCTTTGTTTGGCTTTGCTCAGCACTTCAATGCAACGCTCATGGGTTTCTCTACCTATGGTAACGATTTTTATATAGACGAACTGATGGGCAACATTTCACCAATGGCCTACAATCCGCTTATCAGCTCACCCCGGTCAAACCCCATGAACTTCGTCGAGCGTCTGGAGAATAATTGGGAGGTTTGGGTGGAGCAATTGGTGCACGTGTTCTTTCATTATCCCAAGATGGAGAAACAGTACGTTAAGTATTTTCCTCAGGCAACGAAAACTCTGCCTGAGGTCGTGGACAGCTTTACTTTAATGTTGCTGGGCCAACATTTCACGCTGAGCTACCCTAGGCCCTACATGCCCAACATGATTGAAGTGGGTGGACTCCACATTTCGCACAAGCCGAAAGCATTGCCCGAAGACATTAAGCAGTTTATTGAAACTTCCACCGATGGCGTCATATACTTTTCACTGGGTTCGAATGTAAGGAGCAAAGACTTGCCTGTGGCAACGCGGAATACGCTGCTCAAAGTATTTGGTAACCTCAAGCAACGTGTGCTCTGGAAGTTCGAGGACGATCAGCTGCCAGGCAAGCCGGACAATGTGTTTATCAGCAAATGGTTTCCCCAACCTGACATTCTGGCCCACCCGAAAGTAACACTATTCATCACACACGGCGGCTTGCTGAGCACTATGGAGAGCATCTACTTCGGAAAGCCTGTACTGGGATTGCCCGTCTTCTACGATCAGTTCATGAATGTAAAGCGTGCTGCTAGCATGGGCTTTGGCCTGGGCTTAGATCTGATGAATCTGCAGCAGACAGAGCTAGAGCACACGATAAAAACACTTTTAAGTTCGCCAAGCTATGCAAAGGCTGCTGCACTGCTCTCTGAACGCTATCTCGATCAGCCAGAGTCGGCTATGGACCGCGCCATTTGGTGGACTGAGTACTTGACTCGGCACAAGGACCTCTCTCACCTGCGTGCCCTCTCGCGGGACATGAGCTTCATACAGCTTCACAGCTTGGACACCATGGCGGTTCTTCTAGGCTTGCCTCTAATTGTGTTGTATGTGCTGTTTAAGCTGACCCGTCGGCTACTGCGCCTGATCTCTGGTAATAAGCGAAAGCATGTCGATAAACAGAAAAGACATTAAGAGCTCTGATATATATTGATAAAAGATAAGTTTCTTACAAGTTACACTTTTCTACTGTGTGGCTAGGCTATTGTATTGTTGAAAGAATAACTTTACGTATATTGTAATTAATTAATATACACATGGCTTAATTAAAACACGTAATGCCTTGATTATATTATATAATAATTTATACATTTTAATATATAATTATATAATAGCTTTTGTGAGTGATATCGTTTAAGAGAACTTGAGCTACGTGTCTACAGATTATAAATAATGCTTGATATGCAACTTCCTTAATTTTTTTATTACACTTAATTGAACTAAAAATAAAAATATAGATCTTAAGTCTATACATGCATTGCACAGATAACCTAACACTTTTATCTAACACTTAACCGAAGAGAGCAAGCGAAATGCTGCACTCACTCAGTGCATGGCTGATGACGTATACGTAATATTAATTGAATTGACTTTGAAACTGATAAAATTGTTTAAATTAAGTGACTCGTTCACAAGACCAATACAATATGTAGACTATGTAATGCCCGTGTTGTTGTAGTTCTGTAGACAGGGAGAATAAGAGGCAGAAAGACACAAATATATATTATTATAGTAAAAAACATGTATGAACTCGTTCAGGGCTCACAAGCAGCTCAACATACTCAAGTCTTCTTACTCTCCCACACACAATATTTCTATCTATTAACTTGTAGTTACATCTGTAGCCGAAAAGCAAAAGTGTATTTATGTTAATTTCTATGCACAGCTTTAGAGTTAAAATGAATCTACTGGGCTGAGACAGAGACTTACTGTTGTCTATACTTCCAGCCTCAGAGGTCGGTCTAATGATTTGTCTCTTCTGATCACTATAAAGCTATGCCGATTTTTATTATAAACTGCACCTCTACTGATTGAAGCAAAATTCATTATTTAAACGATGCCTTGATTTAATTGAAGGCAATGTTTATTTTTGTTTTTAGTGTGTAACATTTGCTGACTTTGGGTTGCCAATGCTGCAGATGGCCGTGGCTGCTGCCAGTATACGTCCTAAATCTCGGCCGTTTTATCAACTTCAGCTTGGAACGAAATTCAAATGCTGCACTCGTATTTTTTCTAGCTCCTCCACCTCTTTTGTGTCCGTTTGTGTGTGGTGCCCCTAACAACTGGGCGCTCCAAAAAAACTCGCAGTGGCCACTTTGCACTAAGTACTCACACCGAATTCCGTTTGAAGTCTTGCACTGGCCACACCTGCATAGCCAGCACACTTGCACACTGAGCTGACTGGCCCCTCCTCTGATTTGACTTTCTAGCTACACGTACGCTGCGCCTGGCTTGTAAATTGTATCCGTTTCAGGAACATAAATTGTTGTCAACTTCCGTTGGCTGCGACAACGTCGCCGGCACTGACCACTTCTGCTGCTGCTGCCGGATTCTCCGCCCCATAGCCTGATGGCCTCTTCTGTCCAGGCGCCCTGCACCCTATGCTCACATCGCGCGCTTTGACTTGAGTGCCGCTTGCCTGGCCAGGTTTGTCTTTTTGTTCGGTCAACTTTTGTTTTTTTTTGAGTCCGCTTTTTTCCACGATGCAGCTTCAGGTTCAGCTTCCAACTCCAACGTAATTGAATTTTTAATCTCGTTTATAGTCAAGTGATCTCTGGCATATACCGAGCGTGTACTGCTGCGCATATTTTACGTGCCTGGCGACTGGTAGCTCGGTCGACACTCGGGTCCAGTTTCTGGGCAGGCTTCCAGCAGCGGACGGGCCAAATACACTGCACAAATAAAGTTGCCGGCTGTCATGGCTCTTGGGCCGTGGAGCCACCTTCTGTACGAGTTGGCCTCGTAATGAGCGCCCGTCGTTATGCTAAATAGTTGGCGAAAAGGTAACTTTGCCAATGGGCAGCGGGCCAGCGGACAGGGACCAGCGGGTTAATATGCACACTAAATTGCATGCCCAACTTTTCGACTGTTGTTATAAAACATATATATTTCGTTAGTAATACAATTTGCGGGCGGAGGCTTGGATATATTGTGAATTGCCTATTCGGTAAGTATTTTAATGAACTTGTGCCAGTTTATGCACACGCTGTTAATTGCCAGTCAAGTCCAAGTCTAAGCGCGTAGAAAAAGCAGCCCAAAACTTAAACTGATTGCAAATTGAGTTTTGTGGCAGCGCATGACTTCAGTATGCCGTGTCAAAGGCTTGTAAACGATTGCATCATTAACTTGCTTACGTGAGCTACGACGAGGACGGCAAGGACGAAGGCAACGTTCAATTAAGGCTTAATTATAAGCAGCCGAGAATCAACCACGACGCGTACTTTCTGCCGTGACACAGTTTTGAAGGGGGGCGAGTGCTGGATGCAGTTACTCAATTATTGCAACACGGCGGCAGGTTAAGCAATTCTTTCGACACGTTCATGATTCGCATTATATTTTGAAAACGACCCCATTTCACTATTGCCATTACTAAGTGAATTGATGCGATTAATAATTCCTATTAATTGGCAAAAGTCTGCAGCTTTTGCGTCTGATATAGACATTGTTTTGTAATATAACTATATAATTTGGTAATATAAGCTGATATTAGAGCTGAAAGCTGTCGGATATTCGGCCTTCTTACCACGGGAAGTGATCGGTTAACTTTGATCGGTTAACTTTGAAAACAGTATCAAAAACGAATCGAGGCGGGAAAAATGGAAAAATTTCAATAGCAAAATTTTCATTTTATAAATATATCCCTAGTTACTGCTTCTGCTATAATAGATATTTTTTTCCATATTTATTTGGGTTTCTGATAGAAATATAAACTTACTGTAGTCTCTTATTAGTTAAGTCTTTCCCTTAACGATTTATTTGATCTCACTTTGAAATACAACAAAAATTTTTGTATATATACATATAAAAAAAAAATTGTATATAGATACATATATATATATGCATGTAGTTAAAACTGCTCAACTTGGAAATTTTAATTGCTGCTACAACCATTATCGCATCAATATCATCGACTGAATAGTTAACGCCTAAGGAATTCCTTAACGCGTTGCCCACAGAGCACAGAGCAGGACGAGAATCATTAGTTTGAGTATTAATTAAATATTAAGATAGTTCGTTGTGCCTATGCCACAGACAGTGGAGGTTTGGCATATTGGCAAATGTCATATCAATAGACTCGCTAGCCATTTGAGTTTGTGTTTCTGTGGGAGTTGGGTTTGCATTTCTCTTGGCAAATGTTTGATTTTCATTAAAACCACTCAACCGAACTGTTTATCTTAATTATAAGATTTTGCCATAATATTTACATTAGTAGTAGTCAGTGAGAGTGCATAATGCTTTCATGGATTCGAGCTGAAGCCGAGGCTCTGTCTGAAGTCTAATGCTTCTTCAATGCAAATATTTGTGGCATTGCTCATACGCACCGTACTCTATGTATATGCTAAATGTCTGTCGCATGTCTGCCCAACTCTGTGTTTAGTCGTGTTGCTTTTGCAAAATGTTCGGAATAAGGGCGTGCACGGTCAAGGATGAGTTTTTGCAACAGCTGCCACCGTCGTTGTCTGCCGCCAACGCTCAGCCGACAATTGTTCTGAATTTTTTAACTGCAATAATTATATGGCAATTAGCAAAATGTTCAATAATGCAGCAGAGCTATGCCAGGCAGCCGTAACAATTTTTGACTGCACTCGGTAAACTTCTAATTGCCATTAGCGCACTTTACTTTCTCCCAGCTGCCGCCATGCACGCCCATTGGGCGTGGTCGGTGCGCAAAGTGTGAAGTATCTAGCGGGTGGCAGGTGAATTCCAAGCTACCCGCTCTGCAGCATTGCCGCGTAATTAGACCGCGCTGTTAGCTACCGCTGGATCTGCTGGTTGCCTGGTTGGCTGGCTGGCTGGTTGTCTGTAATTTAGTACTAATGGCGCACTTAAAGTGCAGGCAATTATTTTAGACCTATACCTACAGCTGTAGCTACAGCCACATCTATACCAGTACACAGGTTGTACAATACACGCTCTGGTCTCTCGACACTCAAACTGACGGTCGAGTAGTTTCAATAACCCCCGCAACACAATGGGGGCATCTGCCTATCGGCAGCATTGTTGGCAAACTTCTAAGTAGTTGAGTAGATGAGCGCCAGCTGCATACTAAATTACTAACTTCCACCCAATTATCACCTTCAATGGTTAATACTCTAAATACCTTGTTGCTTACAATGAAATAAGGAATTAATAGTTACACAATGCTGAAAGATGAGCTCAAGCTCTCGCACTTCTGCTTTACTTTCAAGTAAAGGGTTCATAATGATAAGTCCTTCAATCCATAAAGGAAACAGTTTTGCATATATACTTGTACTGAACATTCACCATATACACGCTTAACTGAGCTTGTGGGCTTTGAGTAAGCTCACAAAATAGAGAGAAACCATGGTAATAAAGCCAGCTCAACGATAGACTGAAAGCAAATATAAAATATAAGCGAGCAGAAATCAAACCTTGTTGCTCGTTGTTTGGAATACCCAAAACTGTCAGTCATATAAATCTTATTGAGCAAAAGTTTCAAATACTAACACTTTCCGTCGCACACATAGAGAATTTGGGCAAATTTGTGCACCAGAGTGTAAGACTGTGTGTGTGGCGCGCCAACAATCAGTCCATAACTGCGCTTTTATGTGCCAGCTCACTGGAGACTAATGCCGGTATCAGAAATATGCAAAAATCAACTCGGCTGTTGCAAGTGTGGCAAGTGCCCCAAGTGCTGGGCTGCCAAACAACGGAAAGCAGAATGCACTGTCAAATTTTTTTCCTACGACTTTCTTCAACATAAACGAAAATATAACAAAAACAACAGACACATATATAGACCCGCGCACAACAAGTTTTGACAAGTTCAGAGGGCTGGGCAGTGACAGGGAAACAAAGAGATGTGTGCAGCATGTCTTGATTTGCATAAGCCCCGGCTGAATTCCCTCTTTTTTAGCGCTTTTATGACAGCGACAATCGATAGTTAGATAAAGCCATAGTGCACTCGCTGGTTGGGGGGCCATCAATCAAAATTTCATATGTCCGATGGCATGCCAGAGCCACAGCCAGTCCAGTCCTAACCCCACTTCAGCCGTAAGCTGGGCCAGCGATTGCGGGCTTGTTTAA